GTGGTGGTAGAAAGTCCCACCGAGTCTCAGCCAACTTACAGTGACCCCATAGGGTTTTCAAGGGGAGAGACGTGCAGAGGTGGTTGGCCATTGCCTGCCTCTGCATAGCATCCTTGGACATCTTTGGTCCAAGTACTAGCCATGGCCAACCCTGCTTAGTTTCCAAGATCTGAGGAGATTGGGCTAGCCTCAGCCATATAGGCCAGGGCGGCAACGGAAGTTAGCAAGGTAAATGTCTGCCGCGCGTACAGAGGTGCAGTTTATCTAATTGCTAAAGGGGGGTTGGCTCAAGTGGTTAAGATGCTGAACTGCAGGCTGTGGAAGGTGGGTAGTTCAGCAGTTCGACGGCAACGGAAGTTAGCAAGGTGAATGTCTGTCGCGCGTACAGAGGTGCAGTTTAACTAATTGGTAAAGGGGGGTGGCTCAAGTGGTTAAGATGCTGAACTGCAGGCTGTGGAAGGTCACTAGTTCAGCAGTTCGAGACCCGAGTTGCCGCATGACAGAGTGAGCTCCCGTCTCTAGTTCCAGCTCCTGCCAACCTAGCAGTTCGAAAGCAAGAAATTGCAAGTAGATAAATAGGTACCACTTCAGTGGGAAGGTAACAACGTTCCGTGCGCCTTGGTGTTTACTCATGCTGGCCACATGACCACGGAAACATCTTCGGACAGCGCTGGCTCTTCGGCTTTGAAACAGAGATGAACACCGCAACCTTCGAGTCAGACTCGACTGGCTTTCGAGCAAGGGAACCTTTACCTTTGTAAAGGTGGGGGGGGCAAGTGCCATCAGTGAAAGCAATGGCTAGGAAGAGTGACAGCATCAAATTCTGTTCAGACCCATCACGCACAAACTTGTCCCTCTGTTATGGAGAGGTTGCTTGTCTGCAAAGAAACCAGGAAGTGAACCACATGTCTGACTGGAGGGGGACTCTGCCCCCTCCACCACATACCAGACAGGATGCAATAATACAACATAAACACAAAGTGATACGCAAAGGCACCAAGACGTGTCAAAGGCAGCAACAGGGCAGAGCCAGGGATGGGGATCCAGGAACCCAGAGTGAGACTGAGAAGAAGTCGCAGGGTGGATCATAAGAGAAGAAACCGGGTGCACACCAAATCGTCAAGTAGGACCTAAGGTCACATGGAAGTCCCAAGGTCAGTGCTGGAAAAGGAGAAGTCAAGGCTACCACACATTGTTAAACGGGGGCCAACGTCATAAGGAAAGCCAGCAGTCAAAATCAGGAGGCCGACCCTGCTTAGCTTCCGAGATCTGATGAGATCAGGCTAGCCTGGGCTGCCCCGTTCAGGGCACGATGGCTCTTAGCCTGTCACAAAACCTCTGGTGTTCAGAATCTAGTTTTCAGAACACAGTGGAAAATGCCTACGTGCTGATGGAAGATCATCATGCCAAGGCCAGCAGTGAGACTGGCCCAGAAAGGAACCCATGGCCTTCCGAGTGGTTTTTAAAGTGCTTCCTGCTGGGCTGAGCATGTAGCCTGTGCCTCTCCAAGACTCAGGACTTTCCTCTGCAGCACAAGTGACTTCTTGTAAGAGGAAGCAGAGCTCTTGATCTGAGGGTTGCCGGTTGAAACCCAGCAACCCCCAGTAGTTGGGGATCTTCTTTACGACAGTCCTAAAGGTCTAGTGGAACAGCAACTGTAAGAATAATTTTTATAAAAGGAAACTTGAATTAATTATTGAAAAAGAAAACTTGAATGAGTGCCGTTTCTTGAGGTCTGCTTCGCCTAGTCATTTTGGGGGGGGGGGGTTTCATGATGGTTCTTGCCAGGTCATCGGACCCGTGAGGTTTTCAGACAGAAGTTCAGAGGTGGTTTGCGATTACCTGCCTCTGAATAGTTACCCTGGAATTCTTTGTTCCATCCAAATACAAACTAGGGCCGACCCTGCTTAGCTTCCGAGATCTGATGAGATCAGGCTAGCTTTGGCTATCCGGGTCAGGGCACGATGGCTCTTAGCCTGTGACGAAACCTCTGGTGTACAGAATTCACTTTTCAGAATACAGTGGGAAATGCATGGGCACCTTTCCCTTACACATTCAGTGCTTACCATCATATACTGGCATCTGGGATTCACAAGAGAAATACCCGGTCAAAGATGCTGGGCTGTGCGTCGTGTCTTTCCCAAACTGTATATTTAAAAGAATTTAGAAGATCCTCCATCTGCCGCACACCACTTCCTTTCCAATCCGACATGAGCCCATAGCATCACTACGTTATCTCAGTTGGGATCTACTAATCTAACATTTTGAAATAACATGAGTGCCATGTGAGAAAGTCCTCACTTTTAGCTAGAATTGTGTAAAAAAAAAAAAATCACTACAATGTGGTTCACGTTTGGTTCTGTTTTTCTTGTAGACTTCAAATCCGATCGATGTAGCAAGCAGGCCTGGCACAGTACACCACACTCTTCTGCAAAAGACACCGGGGGTAGGTATAGAAGTCATAACTTCTGTCTTATGAATACTGCTGAAGTTTTGGCATTTATAAAATCAGATTTTAAGTCATGGGATCATAGGGTTGGAAGAGGCCGTACAGGCCAGGCCCTCTAGTCCAACCCACCTGCTCAGTGCAGGTTCAGCCTAAATCAGCCAATTCGGTGTAGTATAGTAGTGTGCAGACTCTAATGTGAGAGAACCTGGTTTGATTCCCCACTCCTCCACTTGCAGCTGCTGGATGACCTTGGGCAAGCCACAGTTCTGGTCAGAGCTGTCCTTGAAAGAGCAGTTCTGGAAAGAGCTCTCTCAGCCCCACCTACCACACAGGGTGTCTGTTGTGGGGAGGGGAAGGGAAAGGCGTTTGTAAGCTGCTCTGAGTGAAGGGCGGGGTATAAATCCAATCTCCTCCTCCTCCTCTTCTTCTTCAGCATCCCCAATAAGTGTTCATCCAGCCGCTGCTTGAAGACTGTCCCATGCTTGTAATGAAGTGGCACTTTGGGCTCTGCCTTCAGTTCCCAGTACGCCACTTTTTCAGAAGCCTGAATATTAAGGGTGGGACAATGTAAACACAGTGTTTAGCTATTTTATCAATGTTTTCAAAAGAGACAAACAGTAGATTATCACTTAGTGGCAGTAAAAAGTGCCATCCAGTCTCAGCTGACTTATGGCAACCTCTCTTGGGGTTGTCCAGGCAAGAGACAAACAGAGGTGGTATGCCGTTGACTACCTCCGTGTAGCGACCCTGGACTCCCTTCATGGCCTCCTGTCCAAGTGTACTAACCAGGACCAACCCTGCTTAGCTTCCAAGATGCAACAAGATTGGGCTAGCCTGGGTCAGGGTGGATTATCACTTAATAAACCTGGATTTCAAATAAGTGGGTAGACTGCAATGCGTTGGAAAAGCAGTTGTTTCACTTCTTGAAATTCTGAAGGCTTCGTTTTATTCTCTCGAGTGACAGTCGCTCATAGATGAAACATGGTTGTTTTCACTCTTGTGCAAGAAGTCATACAAAGGCTCATGCTGACCTCTGCATTTGATCGCACAAGACAATAGGCACACGTTCTGCTTCTTCCCCATGACAACTGCATGCTAAGATTGCTTTGTGCCACGGTGTATTTAGAAGATACCTGGTGCAATGATCTTGCTTCAGCTAAGCGAGTCATGAGTCTGATCAGCACCTGAGGATCTTCATAAATGCTTCCTTGAGTTCCAGTATGGAAGAAAAGCAGGGTATAAATATTGCAAAAAAATATATTCAAAGCTGGGCAAAATGGGGAGAGGCAGTGGCTCAGGGGTCGGACATCTGCTTTGCATGCAGAAGGTCCCAGGCTCAATCCCTGGCATCTCCAGTTAAAAGGATCCTGTCCATCTGAGCAGACAATCCTGACTTTGATAGACTAATTCTCTGATTCAGTCTAAAGCTGCTTTGTGTGTCCCAACTGCTTTAGGAAGCTCTCTGTCTTACCAAGTGACTCTCTCCTTGCTGTATTCCATTCAGTGTCATCCCTTCCTTTGAATGACATTCCTTAGTTTTGCTCTGTGTGGTGATTTTGAGAGACGGCTAACCTCCTTTCCTACATTTTCCTTAGGTGTCTGACCCATATCGGCCTCCAGTACGAGTAAGTAAGGTTTGTCAGGGATTTTTTTTTTAATATACTTCTTACAAAACTGTTATTTGTGTGCTCTTGGAAATGTAAATGCATACTAAGTAAGCCTATGTTGGCTCTCTTTCTTTTTAAACTGGATTCAGTTTAAAGTGTATGCAGTACTCTGTTTCACACCACCAAGCCTTTCCTTCCTGCTTCGGCTTTCCATGGTGGCCAAAATTCAGCACCAGGAAAAGCTGAGTTCTGCTGCCTGCGTGAATTATGCCAACTGAGCAGTTCCTTAGTTGAACAAGTTTACACAATTTCTTTTATCCTGCATAATTTATTCTGTGATATTTATGAGGGAAGGGACATGGAGCTATGTATGGCACTGGATCCTTTATTTTCATACATTTAGTTATTGCTTATAATAGTGTTTATAACTTAGAAGTCCCCAACATGATTGGTCACTGGAGATCTGATTGGCGGTGCAGATTTTTTAAAAAGTTGCTTTGGCAGCAGCTGCCACCACAGCACAAGGGTCCTCATTTTGTGACTGAAGGTAAGCTGTGGCAGCCATTTTGTGGCTCGCTCTGCCTCCCAAGGCAGCCGTTTTGTGGCTATGCCCACCACGTCATGTCAGAACTCCAAAGATGCCTGCAGACTCAAAAAGGCTGGGGACCCCCAGTTTAACTGATGTTATTTTCTCCTCACTTTTGTTTTAATAATGGATATGATGAATGTTGTGGGTTATACAACACTTGGTTACAATCGTGAGTAAAATAGGAATCCTGGGAACGAGCAGGGAGCCACGTTGAGTGCAGAAATCATCACCGTTCTAGTCCTCTGGAAACACATGCCATTTCAGCCCTGCCCCCTTTTGTGCAGCCGTGAGAAACACAATCATTTGTTTCTGATGAGGACCACATATTCCATGATTTGTGGCAAAAGATTACCGAACATATCTTCCCTCCTGTATCCTTTTTTTAAAAATCCATATTTCTGAATGGTTAAACACAAATCAACAAGTTTAATTTCCGGCACCCTGAACGGCTGATCCTGTTTATTGAGCTATCTGTTGATGGCGATGTTGAAGATTGCTGGTATTTTAAACTCAAACCTCCCCCCCCCTCCCCTTTTTTAATCCATTCCATTGCAGAAGCCTGGCAAGTGGTGTGCCGTTCACGTCCAGATCGCCTGGCAGATCTACCATCACCAGCAGAAGATAAAGGTAAATGGACACATTTATTCAGAGGCGAGAACCCTCTTCTGGCTTTCGACAGGCTATACTCCCTTTCCCACCACGCTCCTCCCCGCCCCGATTAACAAACAAGCAGCAGCTTCCCACCCCGTTGTTGTCGTTTGTAAGGTGGAATTAATGAAGCCTTTTTCTATCTTTTAACGTCTATCTGTGGAGCTTTAAATGGTTGCTTTCGCCTGGTGGGCAGGGCAGCCTGGTAGAGGGGGAAAAAAAACACAAAACCAAGTGGAAGGTATTAAATATGCAAAGATCCAAAGCCAGGCTGGGGAGGTTTGGGGGGGGGGAGGGCGGGGGCATACGAAGCACGCGTGTTTAATATCATTTCCCTTCTGCACTAGTACCTCCTGTGGAATATGGAGTGTTATCCTGTTCAGAGTGAAATGAGCGGTACGGTGAAGGACATTTTACAAAACATAGAGCAGGCGAGTAGAATGACAGTCATTGTGTCAGAGGTGCTTTGGGGGTTTTCGGCTGCTGTATGGTGTGGCGGGGGGGGGGGGGGGGGGGACTGTGGAACTGGAAAGGTAAGAAATTTAGGAACGGCAGGTCTCCCCCTTGTCGAAAACCCTTTAGAATCCTGAGGATTTCCAGAGGTCTCCGTCCTCGAGCCACTCTGTCCTCGAAGGATCCCAATGACCTTTAGAGCCACCTTTTCCACACCTCTTACTGGAGAAGTGCCACTTTGGAATTCCACAGGGAGAGCCCGAAGCGGGTGCCACTTTAAGTTCCACAAGGAGACCCCAAAGCTCGCAACCTGGAACATAGTTATAGATGTGCATTAGTGCAGTCCTTAGCCACGGTAGTTCAATTTGCCTGTTGTGGGATTTTAGTGAAATGATTATCGGTGGTTGATATATTGGGAACCAAAGGAAAAAAAGGGGAGGTCCATTGGTAGAATAGGTAAGAGGGGTGTTCTCAGCTGGGGATGGAGAACTGAACAACAAACTAGCCATGAAGACTACCTGAGCTTCAGAACTCTTGGTTTCGCAGCACCCACAGATGCAAATACCTGATGCTCTGTGGTCAGCTAATTTCTGAAGAAGTTGTTCAGCTGCTGCTGAGTGAGGCAAAGCCAAGTTGGGTTGCAGAATAGCGGGAGAGTGCTAGGTTCCTTTAATAGATCCTTGTTTTGCAGATAGCATACACAAATTCGGCCGAGCCATAGGGTGTTGTATTTATATGCCTTTTTTTCACCATTAACCCATCAACGCAACCACCGTGTGTTTTTCTCATTAATTCATCGATGAATATCCAAGGGCCGCAACGGAGTTAACTAGGGTCATGCAAAAATCAGAAAGCTACATCAGTCCCCACAGCCCACTGAATGGCAAGGCTCCCTCCGTCTTTTATAGATTGCACTCACAGTCCGGTTTGCTGAGCATATTGCGTTTTTAAGCAGAAATAGCAAAAAGACAGACCCATTGGTAGAAACGAATTCGGTCAGAGACTGCTCAATCTGGCTCTGAAATAACTTTCTGTGCTTCACTGTTGCCTGCAGATGCAGAGCTTTCCAAACTTGTGGGAGGTAGAACTTGTTGAAGGCACACTGGTTTTTACGTCCAGTCTTGACTAAGGGAACGTCGTAGCCATTAGCGCTTCTGGCTCAGTGGATGTAGCCAGTGTTCCCTCTAAGCCGAGTTAGTGCGAGCTAGATCACAGTTTTTTAGCCTCCGGCTCACACATTTTTGCCTTAGCTCAGGAAGGATGGCTCCAGAGCAAAGTAATTTATGCCGTAGCCAAATCGCTCACTCACAACTTTAATGCCAGTAGCTCCCAAAGTAGAATTTTGCTCACAAGACCCCACAGCTTAGAGGGAGCCTTGGAGGTTGTAGCATTTGGTTTGCCAGGTTGAGGCACCAGCTACAGGCTGTCAGGCAGCAGTGCTGGGAAAGACCGTTATCTTGAGACTCTATAGTGGTAGGTATACGGTTCGTTTCACTTTGTGCAAGATGGAACACGATAATCAAACTTTATGGTTTCGTTTGACATTGTGGATGGAACTAGACATTACGGGAGGAGCCTAGCAATTGCCGAAAGCAACCGTCCCCGTGCTCTCCTCTTCCTGGACTCTCTCCCCCCATTTGTTTTCTTTTTTAAGGACATCATGTTGTCATGCAGTTGAGTTTTCCCTCCCAGCCAAGCAGCATCAAATGACGGGGAACAGGGCAGGGAAACCTGTTTTGTGACACCTTCTGGGAGGAAGAGGCCAAGCAGCATCAAATGAAGGGGAACAGGGCAGGAAAACCCAGAGAGCATCCTGTTTTGTGACACCTTCTGGGAGGAAGACACTCAGGGCTACTAATTCTGGAGGCTCCCATAACGGGGTTCTGCCCCCTGTAGTTGTGGAGTATCGCCTGGATTTCCATAGGTCATTTATAGCTGTCGCATATTGTGAAGAAAGTGTGATACTTCTGGATTAACCCACTGAGGGTCTTCCTAACCAGTACCCACGGATGCAGCCAGTGTTCCACCCTGTTTCCCGCCTTTTCCCCCTCACCGGCCAGCAGAGCGGCCCTCTGGCAGCCCCATTGCAGGCTAGTTAACAGCACTTGATGCTCAGAGCATGTTGAAATGAATGGAACGGTGGCCTGTGAGGCACTTTTGAGTGGGGGGGGGGCGGTCCTGTCCTCCTCTTCCTTTTCCACGAGTCTTTCTTTTTGGATCTCCCCCCTCCCCAAAGGGTTTAGCCTCAACAAGCCTCTGTCACTTTCTGTCAGAGAGAGAAAGCAGCCGAGCACGGGACTCTGTCATCCCACTCTTCTTGAGGCCCGGGGTCTGTCTGCAGCTCTTAGCCAAAGGAAATATGTGTGTGTGAGAGAGAGAGACAGAGAGAGAGAGAGGCAAGGTCAGTAAAGGTTCCGAGGGGCACTTCGCCCAGCATAGTTCAGCATATCACGTTGCAGCCTCCCACTGAGTTAACGCCGTAGGGCTAAGAGATCACTTCAGGCCTCGTTCATGTGGAGGAGGCTGGGCAGCTGAGAAGCTGCGGAGTGAAATGGCCTGGCCGAGAGGCGCCTGTCAGAGCGCGGACTTGTTGGGGGCGGCCGCAGGCACTGCCTTCACTCCAGCTTACTCTCCCCGGCAGTGCTAAGGCAGGCGTGGAGCTTGAGCCCTTTGCTAGAAGCACTTCTCCCCTCCTCCCCCCCCCTCAGTAAAGGAAGAGTAAATGTATAATCAGATCGTGTTTTTTTGTGTCCTTTGACAGCAAATGCAGCTGGATCCTCACAAGCTAGAAATCGGAGGGAAACTTGACCTGTTCAGCAGACCTCCTGCCCCGGGGGTGTTTCCGGGGTTTCATTATCCTCAGGATCTTGCCCGGCCTCTGTTTTCCACCACAGGTGAGGAGAAGGATTGTGTGTCTTTAAAATCATGATAATGAGTACAAGCGTGTGTCAAAACTTTCCTCCCCAACTGCACTGCAAAATCTGGCAAGGTGAACATGAGCACGTTGTGGCAGTGTTGTCAGAAAATTTGCTTCCTGCTTAATCTATGGGATATAAAAAGTATTAAGATTCACGCTGACCTGGATTGCCCAGGCAAGCCCGATCTCGTCAGATCTCGGAAGCTAACCGGGGCCCACCCTGGCAAGTAGTTTGGAAGGGAGACCTCCAAGGAATTCCAGGGCTGGGACATAGAGGCAAGCAATAGTAAGCCTCCTCTCTGAAACATCCAAGCCCCGCTAGGGGTCACCAGAAGTCAACCATGATTTCCAGGCATAGCCAGATATACACACACACAAAATAACTAAAAAAAAAAAGTATTAAGATTCTGGGGGCTAAAATGCCTTTTAGGATCTTGTCCTGTGGAGCCAGAGATATGCCATGGCACAAAACTCCTGGGAGGATTAACCAGAGCAGTTTGTGAGACCTTCCCCATCTCTTCATTGAAATGCATAGGGAAATTACTCATGGAGCAGCATGCAGGCTGCAAGCAAAATAGGATAAGGAGAGGATTGTGATGCCTTCTGGTTCTTCTTGCCCCAGCCCTTCACGCTGCCCA